GAGAAGATACAGTCAGCAAATAGTCCACACAAACTTTTCAATGTCAACGTCTAGTCCACCTGACAACTGTCCTTGGGACTTTCCAGTAGCCCCTGACCTAGTTCCTCCCTCCTGTGCATTTCTTGGACTTTCGCACATATTGAAACAGATCACACGTTGTAAAGGAGAAAGGAAGAAACATGTATTGAGCAGTGAAGAAACATGTATATGAGCAGACACATGCTGCATATTTTACATATGTTAACGCATTTAATTCTCACAACAATTTTCCAAGGTAAACGGTGTTACTACTATTTTACATTCCAAGAAATGGAAACTTAGAAGGCTACTTCTTCTCCAAGATCATGTAGTTATAAGTTGTAGTGCGGGGACTGGAATCCAGACCTGCAACGTGTTCTTTGTTTTATATCACATTGCTTCCATTAAATCCTCCTGCAATTTTTAAAATATACTTTGTTTTGAATGAGAGATGAATTCACATAGATCAGTGGTTTTCAAACTGTGCTCTGGGTCATTCAGCTGTCAAGGTTTCCACAGACAGGATAGTTTCTCAAACACACAGAAAAATGAAGAGTTTAAATTACACAGTAAAACCACTGATTACTTATGTCTGCTCTGCAGGTAACTTTTCCATTTAAAAAGTTAAATATTGACATAAATAGTTTGAAATATATTATTCTTGAGTGAAAAATGTTCCCTTTCTGATAAACAAGGAGGAGAAATGAGGACTAGCAGATTAAAATCACAGGATACACGTTCAGAGTGGGGCGGTCAGATAGCGGGGGTAGAGAAGAAGGAATGTGGACAGAGGGGGCTGGAGTGATGGGCCTGGCAGATATGGGGGCGGGGGCCCAAGGCCCAGGAGAAGAGGTAGGTCAGGATATTTGAGTTAAGACATGGGCTCTTGCCTTTGCAATGACACTGTAGACTAAGGAAACACTCTGGTGTCCCTGAGGTTAGCCACACCCCTTCTCCACTGTCCTCTGCCACTTGTTGTTCAGCTGCTGATGAGGGGTGAGGTGGGACCTAATTCCCTAAATAAATCCAAGTTT